CATCTTAGTTCTCTCTCTCCTTGCTTGCCTATGCTGCTTCCACACATGAGCATTCTATGTCTCCACACTGGTTCTTTTCACATAATGAAATGCCATCCTCTCTTACTTGGCTTTAACAATTTGTTCATGTTTTCAGTACATGCTACCTTCCAAACTCAAAATAAGTCTTAACATATAAACATACATGCACACACATAGAACCGTTTTATTCTTTTCCAAGTACAAATATTTCAATTCTCCAAAATTTACTAATGCATATAGAAATACATTTCAAAAAATTGCAGTAAAAACACTTTAAACCCACACCATAAGTTTAGGAAGTTAGCCCCAAACAATGAACACTGAAATACATAAAGAAATACATTCAATGAGAATGTAATTTAATAGTATAAAAATGTAAGTGCCACTAAGACTAACAGTAATGTTTATATCAGCAAAAACAATGCTGATCTGTGATGCTAGTGACAAACAAGAATGCACAGCTTTTTAGCAAAAATTCAGAACACAACATTTATTAGCACATTAGTTTTGAACACATCCTACAAACACGTCCTAAAGCAATCTAAAAGAACATCTGGAGCAAAAATATCAAGAAACATTAACTTCACCACAAAGTACAACAATCAAAGCACTTTTCAAAATCTCCAGTACTAGCAATCATTATTATTATATAATCAGGTAAGCCCCCAAAGTATAGGAAAAAATATACACTTGACCATTTTCAATCAGAAGTTCTTCTGAGAATAAAACATTCTTTAAGCAAAACCTCTTGAGAACTAGAATTCCCTTTCCAATATATGGTCTCTCTTAGAGCTGTAACTAAATATTATTGAGTGGCAGAAAAGCAAATCTCAAGGAATGATAGACTTAAGAAAATTTCATTGAAGAAAGCACAAAGCAAGTCCTAATAATAACATTCTGAAAATGAAAGCTCTCCCTGCTTTAAAAGAAGCAGATATCAAAACTCACAATTATATCCAAAAGACCCACCTGAATCCACTGAACCACTGATGATGGGCTTTCATAAGCCTGATCACTGAACAACTTACACTAGAAATTATGCTTCACTTAGTAGCTGATCAAATCATTATCAAATTCATAGATTTTGAAATTAAAAGCTCAATTTTTAGTCATAACACTTTAAATAAAATTCTGTCATTCCATGCTCTGCAGTCTCTTGTTCACATGAAAATGAAAATAATTTTGTTAAGTCCTTAGGTGTTCAAGGTTGGAATTCCATTAATTCTATAACATTAAAAATAACAATTATCATTAATTTAATAATCATATTCAAATCCAGATATTAAATGGAAGAATTTTATTATAGTCAAAGTCAACCGGGTTTACACTTGTTAAACACTCCAAAGAATTTTTTTTTACTTTACCAAGTGTGTACTTTTCCAAAATTATGTTCTATAATATATCTCCTGAAACAAGGCAGCAATCACTTTGCAATTGGTTTATTAACAGTTTGTATAACCTGAGATAGATGAGCTCTTCCAACTCTGAGAGGCTACACTGTACCAAATTATATGTGTCATTTTTTAATATTCAAAGTCTCCTGAAGACTATGAATCATATTAACAACTCTCTGATATCACTAGAAAATGCATAAGCAAAGTGGCTTTTTTCTCTTCTAAAGCAACAGAGAAAATAAAATCCAGACTTGAAAAATGGACCTGAATATAACCTAAACTAGAAAATGAGCTGTTAGCTCAGAGAGAGAAAAATTATCTATAGTTAATTTATGCACCCCTTCTAAATTGACACACTAGCATACATAGGATTATGGAATATCATGAAAACAATTTCATTTATAAAATGAAAGAAATAAAAGCAAAAAATCAAAAGGTAGGCGTTTTCTTGTGTGTCAATTCTCATTCAACAAAAATTAATTCAAAACACCAGCTCTAGATTTCAGGGATATACACAACAAACATTTCACTTCTGATGGGTATAAATGTTTAATTTGGTAAACATTTCTTTAAAAAGAGTTATTGTTGTTGTTGTTGTTGTTTGGAGTTGTTTTGGAGTTGACAGGATTTGTCTGTTCATTTGGCAGTACTGGGGATCAAACCCAGGAGTACTCTCATTGAGCTAAATCCCCTTTTTCATTTTTTTTTTTTTTTTTTTTTTTGCTTTCAGACAAATTCTTGCTAAGTCTCCTACGCTCAGCTTGAACTTGCAACGCTATCTCAGCCTCCCAGAATGCTAGGTTTACAGGTGTATGCTACCAAACCCAATTTTAAAAATTTTTAGCAGAGTGCTGGAGTTCACATTTGTGATCCAAGCTTCTCAGGAGGCTGAGGCAGGAAAATAGCAAGTTCAAGCCCTGCCTAGGTAACCCAGTGAAACGCAAATTAAAAATCCTGGAATGTAGCTCAGTAGTAAACCACCCCTGAGTTCAGCAGTACCACCAAAAAAAAAAAAAAAAAAAAAAAAAAAAAAAAAAAAGAAAAAAAAAAAAAAAGAAAAGAAAAGAAAAGAAAGAAAGAAAGAAAATTTTAAAATCATTTCTGCAAAACTACACTAATCTCTTAGAGGAAAAACAAATCAATAAAGGAATATGTAAAAGAAAAAATGTTTTTAGAAAAAGCAATAATTTTACAGAAGGGAAAACATACTACTTAAATTAATAGCATTTTCGTTCAATAAATTTTCATTAAGCAAATTTTAAATTTCATAGTCATGTAAAGTAATAACAATATTTCCAGTAATAATAAAACATAGAACATTAAAAGGGAAAACAAATAGGAAGGAAAAAAGTAAATAGAAAGATGGGAGACATAAAGACGGGAGTTTAAAAGAGGAAAGAATTTAGAAACACAATAATTACTTTAAACTACATAAGCTGTACATTACTTAGTTGTTACCTGAGTAGTTTTTTAACCTCCCATTAACTATTCAGCAAGGAACTATTAGTCAAAGATCTATAACTGCTTTTAGCAATCCATCAAATTTTAAAGAAACAATTAATTAGTCTACAACTATCACAACTGTTATCAAACCAATAGTTCTTAATTGAAAGAGTGCCAAGAAAACAAAGGTTGCTGATGAGCTGCAATTTGCCTTACTTTAGGTAAAATAAATAAAAATTTTATTTTTAGGTAAAAAATTTTAAAACAGCCTGTTAGTTATAAGGTCAATTTTTAAGCCACAAAACACTCTTATGTTCAATGGTAAATTCAGCCAGCCTAATTTTATTTTGTATCTACTCACTGGAATTCTAGAAGGCTTACAAGAATTAATGCAACTTACACTGGTGATGATTTCTTCTTAACTATTGCACTTTTAATTATAACTCTGGGTCATTTTCCAACCTAACAAGAACAAAGCCTAATAAACAAGCATATGAAATCCAGTACTCGGGTCAATGACCTTAACACATTTTGCTCTAGCACTGATGCCTCTTCCCGAGCTTGTAGTTAAGAGGTAAGACAGGAGCTAGAGTTGCAGCTCAGTGGTAAAGACTTTGACTAGCACACACATGACCCTGAGCTTAATCTTCATTACAGAAAAATAAAAATAAGAGAGAAAGGACAACCTAATAAATTTGGGGTAACACATAACAGTGAATAAACACTAGCATATACTAGAGTAAGCTCTTACCTTACAACCCCCCACTCAAAATATCCAAACCACAACTGAAACACAGAGCAAGCAATGATATCAATTTCCAAATCAGAACACATTGAACATCCTGAAGTGGAGACTATGTGCATTAAGGAATTAGTTGAAAACGCTGTAGAGTTTCAATTTAATCTCATGGGGACCTTTCTATCTGGGGAGCCCTTATTTGGTCATCAGTATAATCTTGAAAATTCACCTCTTTCTGAGAAGGACAAATAATATTTATCCTCCTTGATAACTGAAACCACTAAGAGTCATGGGACATGGCTGAAAGTATGAGGAAGGATATGTATGGAGAACAAGAAGCAGTAATAAGGTACTTGTAGCATCTTTATGTCTACCCTGTTGGGATTCCCAACAAACAGCAGAGTAGCAGTATTCTGCATCACTTAAAGAAATCCATCCAGCAAAAGTTTATTGAGCTAAGTACTATACTATAATGAAACTTGAGTATGTAAAGTTGAGTTATGCTTACTTCAATGCATTCACACTCTCTTGGGAGAAATACACATCGGATTTTGGTGTTACAATAAGATTACTAAACTATTAAAAGTACAGTTGGGAGCAGAAGAATTCTGAATTAAGGTAGTCAGCAATGTAATGAAAAAATGGAACCATGTGAAGCTTCAGATAGCAAGATGTTAGAGCTGGCTATTACAGGACAAATAGGAATTTGTTGATGGAAAAGAAAAGAAGGAACATTTTAGTAAATATGAATCAAAATAATCATAGCCTGAACAAATGTAAGATATGAAAATATATGTTTCAAAAGTCAGGAGCACTCAAATGTGACTGATCCAAGACAAAGAATGGTCAAAGGCAAAAAGAAACAGCTAAAAATAAAGTTAGGATGGAGCCAAAATGAAAAAGAGCATAGATAATGTGACAAGCTGAACTTTATTCTTAAAACAAGACACTGACAGTTTTTGAATGAATGGAGTTGACAAAATCAGATCAATATTTTAGAAATAAAAAATTTGGTGATGTGAAAGCTAGATTATTGGGGAATGAAGACAGAATGATCACAAAAGGAACTCTCTGAAATACTCGGGTCTGCTTAGAATGCCTGATTTCCCCTTCATTTAGGTAATATTGTTTAATGCACTTTAAAATGAAAAGGAAAATAACCCCTGAACACAAAGTTTTTCTATAACTAATCATTTTTATTAATTCAGTTGTTTCCTTAAGTATCCAAATCAGAGAGGGTTTTTACAGTATACTTTATTTGATGCATTAACATTCCAGTTTAGAAATTTTATCTCAGTGTCATACTAGCATCTCATAGTACCCAGTGAGGGGAACAGGAAATATGATGCAGTAAATATGACCCAGTAAAGTAATTGCCATAGGGTGTTCTTTTTTATCCTTACCATTACAAGCTCTTCCTGTAATTCACTGCAACTTTTTTCATTATACTGAAGTCTCTTTGAAAGATCTATAATTACTTTCTTCTGTTCCTCAATCTCTTCATTTAGTTTCTTGTTTTTAGAGAAATACTCTCTTTCCAACCTGAAAAGTTAAAGTGTCAGAGAAGGTCTTTCCAATATGCTTTTATCAACTTCTATGATACATCTTTAACACAAATAGCTGAGGTACTATACATTTTCTCATGCCAAAAGGCTTTTTTTAAGAGCAGAATATATTTACTTAGAGAAAGAAAGCTTCTGTCTGATAGACAGACAGACGGAGTCTCGAGTGGGTTGCTTGCCAAAAGGCTTTTTAAAACCCACTTTTCTTTATTTCCAAATTAAAACAGTTTGAAGGAATAATACTTCCCTTTTGATAGCAAGTATCTATACGATGTCAAAGGTTATAAACTCCAAATACATTTAGTGTTGATGTGGTCTCACAATTATTTTTGATGGACAAACTCCACCTGTCACACTCCAGTTAGGTCAGAAACTGCCCCAACATTGAGAAAATAGCTCTAATAAATCATTTTAGAATATGTGATGATTCAAATGGACCAAATATTTTATTTTTGAACATCCATGCAAGTAGAACTGGTGTGATGGCATGGAAAATCCAAAAGGAAGAATAATAAAAACCCACTCACATCCAGTTTGAACACACATGAATTTCTTTTAAATGTTTCTCAGGTTGGTACTAAACTGCATTAATAGTCTTTTAGAAATATAAGATGAAAAAGAAGTTTCAAAGTATTACAGATAAATACTTTTAATTCAAATTAAAGTAGTGCTACTATTTTTAATCTGTGGCCTTCCTGATAGAAGTAGTAAATCCAATTCCTCTAAATTTTAAGCTGTAATTCAGGAAACAGGGTAACTCAGCATAATGAAATCCATATCACATTCAAGCTACAATCAAATAAGAAGCTAATTTTTGAATGACATATGACTTTACTGTGAACAGACAACATTTCTTTCTGTGTTGAATACAGACAATTCTAGTGATAACTATTTTGTATATTCCCTTTTGTATGAAGGATACCCCAAGGTAAACTAGCTACTTGTAGAGAACTGGACCTTCTGATATAAATCTCTTAGAAAGTGCATGCAAACAATAAAAATGGATCAAAGTAAAGAAAAGGTAAGAAAATCAGAAAATAAATCCAGGAGTCTCAACAGACAAATAAGTTTTTTTTTAATGGAAATCATCCAAGCAATAATATAAAAAAAATTTCTGAAAATAAATTTTCTATGAGTTTAGCCTGCTTTAATTTGTTTAATCCCAACATAAATGAAGATATGGATAACTGCATGTATGTTTAAGTGTATAGGATTGACAACCATATTACTAAGTTTTTGTTGGATAGTTGAACAGAACTGTTTGCAGTCTCGCTGTTTAAATTCCCACTTTGTATGTTCCACTTTTGTATCTTGAACAATTATTTGTAAAAGGACTGTATTAAACATTAACTAGTGATTTCTTATTGTTTATTTTTTCTCTGAACAGATGTATTATTTCTACCCATTTTCTGTTTTGTTTAGTCTTTCTTTAAATGAAATTTTTTTTAAAAATTAAGTTTCTAAAATTGAAAGAGCTCAGTAAGCACCTTGCAAAGTGAAAGAAAAACAACCTGGGCCAGATCCATCATCATCACAAAATTTCAGAACGAAGAGAAAATTCTGCAGTGTCCACAGAGTATGGAAATACACATATATTATTGTCTTATTGTGTATTATAATGCAACATCATTAAATCATTTACATATTTCTGATTTTAAAGCTGGTGGATACTGTAAGTTTACAGAGAAAACGAGAAACCATATACAAAAGATCAGCATCAAATGACTTTAGACCACACAAACACTACAAATGAATAAATAGCCAGCTAAACTATGGAAAGGGTAAGGATTAAAAAAATTTCAGAATGCAAATTCTAAATCTTTCTCTGATGCATAACTTCTCAAGAAGCTACTTTACAATGAAGTCAAACACAAAATAGACAAGAGATTAATAAACCAGGGATTCAGGACCAAAGAAAAGTGGAAGAAATTCTGAAGAATGATGTTAAATTCAAGTCTTAGGTGACTAGAACATACAAAAAATCTATACAACAGTTTGTCCACAATGGGGAAGGTAGATGAATTAAGACCCTTCTCTTAGGGGCTAGGGATTTAGCATCAGCGCCTGCCCTACAGGCAGGCAGTCGTGAGTTCGATCCCCAGGACCGATAAAATAAAGGAAAAAGACAAAAAAAAAAAAAATTTAAAATGGTAGAATTTCTTAGAGACAGAAACATAATGAGAGATTTTCAGTTTAAGAATAATGTAGTGGTTATTAAATTCATTGGTTATTAAAACTTTTTGATAGTTTTTGGTATTTTCTATGTGGTATCACATTATCAACAACTAATAATTTAACTTCTTCCTAAAACAGGTATGATGTCTCACGCCTGTAATCCCAGCACTCTGGAGGCTGAGACAGGAGGATCGTTGCAAATTTAAGACTAGCCTGGGTTACAAAGTAAGCTCAAGGCCAGCCTGAACTGTGTAATGAGACCCTGTCTCAAAAAAACAATTAATAATAATTTAACTTCTTCCTTTCCTACCCTTATAGCTTTTATTTCATTCTCTTGTCTAATTGTTCTGTCTAATGTTTTCAGAACTATACTGAATAAGAGTGGTGTCTTGTTCTTGATTTTAGAGTGAAAGCTTTCAGTTTTTGTCCATTTAGTATGCCACTGGCTGTTGGTTTGTCATGGCTGGCTTTTATCAGATTGAGATAAAGACCATCTATTTCAGTTTTCTAGAGTTTTTATTTTGAATGGGTGTTGGACTTTATCAAATGTTTTTTCTGCATCTATTGAGATGATTACATAATTTTTGTTCTTGACTCTGTTAATACAATGTAATATATTTATTGATTTGCGTATGCTGAACCAACCCTGCATCCCTGGGATAAATCCAACTTGGTCACGCTTCATAATTTAATTGAGATTTGCTGCGTTCTGCTTGCAAGTATTTTACTGAAAGTTTTTTTTGCATTTGTTCATTAGGGAGACTGATCTGAAGTTCTCTTTTATAACTGGATCCTTCTCTGGTTTTAGTATCAGGGTAATGCTTCCAGGAATGAATCTGGGAGTATTGCTTCCCTTTCTATTTCATTAAAGGGTTGGAGAAGTTGTGGCATTCAGTCTCCTCTAAATTTCCTGTAGACTTCAGTATTGAATTTGTCAAAGCCTGGGCTTTTCTTTGTTGGTAGGTTTTTAGTTACACCTTCAATTTCATTAACTGATAATGATTTATATAGGATTTTTATATCTTCTTGATCTAGCTCTGGTAATTCATATGCATCCAAGCATCTGTCCCTTTCTTCTGTTTTCCATCTTATTAGCAAATAAATACCTGGAAAAATATTCAACATCACTAATCATTCAAGAGATGCAAATTTTAAAATTGTTGAGATTCCATTAACTCCAGAAAGAATGGTTATTACCAAGAAATCAACCAACACCAAATGCTGGCAGGGCTATGGGTAAAAGAAATCTTCTCCACTGTTGATGGGACTGTAGACTGGTGTAGGCACTATGGAAATCCATATGGAGATTCCTCAAAAAACCCAGCTGCTCTCCTTCTTAGTATCTTCCCCAAAAAATTAAAAGCATCACACCACTGCTATGTATGCACACCTATGTTTATACTGGCAAAGTGTGTAATAGCTAAATCCTGGAAACAGCCAAGTGCCCATCAACGCATGAATGGATAAAGAAGATGTCGCTTTTTCATAAAATGAAGTACTACTCTGACATAAAGAAGAATAAGCTTGATTAACAGGAGAAGGAGGAGGAGAAGAAAAAGAAGCAGCAGCAGCAGCAAGAACTTGAGACATTTCTACCTAAATGGATATAGCTTGAGAGCGTGCTCTTAAGTAAAATAAGTCAGACACACATGTTTAAGTATCACATTGTTTCTCTGTTGTGAGAAACTGAAAGTGTAAATAAGATTCAAAATGCATAACAGATATTGGGAAATGGGCAGAAAATATTCAAATGAGAAGGTCAACAAGGGAGGGGAGAGGGAAAGGAAGAAAGGGACAAGGAAAAAGACAAAAAAGAAGGAAAAATGGAAATAAACATTTGTAAATAAGGGGAGAGAGAAGGATTGTAGGAAAACGGAATGGGGAAAACTCAGCAGCAAGATGTATCACGTACAGGTTGAAATTCTCTATGATGAATGTTGTCAACATGTATATCTAAAATGTATTTTTTTTTAAATGTATTTTTTAAAAACCAGGCTTCACCTGGAAATGTTTCAGCAGCAGGGACCCATGATTGGTCATTGTGGCTGTAGGACAAACTCACAGAAAAAGGCAATGTGTGTTTCAATAACAGCAGACAGCATTTGTGGTTATAAACACAGTGAAGAATGCAAATCTAATCTCAGAACCAGGCCACCTGAACCCTGACACCCCCCAACACACACATACACACATCTATTCTAGTCCTGACTCCTCCTCAGCCTCCAAATCTGAATAGCCTGGGACAATGGCATTAGCCACATGTGGCCACTGGGCACCCAAAATATGGCCAGCTCCAAAGGGAAGGGTGGAAAGTGAAACTTACACATCACAAACACAAAGAAAAAATGCTACATCAGCTGCATGTGGATGTGGCAATATATTAAGGAATACAGAGGTAAATAAAATATTCCATTAAGAAAAGAACAGTGTAGTGAGTAGGTAATCACATAAACATATCATAATTGTTAAGCATTGGCTAATTCCATAAACAAATTCAATTTATGAAGCAATTATTAATACTTTCACTTGTTGATGCAGCAAATCTTTAGTTGTTCTTCACAACATGTGAACAAAATTCCTTTCCACATAAGACAGATAATACTCAATGTAGATTACAATAAAATATACTATAAATTTACAAAAAATAAAGTACTTTGGACATTCAAATAAAACTGTTATTAGCAATCAATACACAACCCAAAGACAGTGACACCTGTGCTTCTGGCAACAGTCCCAGCAAAGAGGGAATAAAGAGGGAAAGAGTAAGAAAAGTAAAGGGCAACACTGTCCTGAGTTCTCATAAAGAAGGTTTCAAAGGAAATAAAAGAAACTAAGCCTTCAACTAACATACACTAGATGTTCTTTAAGCTATACTAGTGGAAACAAGAAATCCTAAGCATTACTAAAGCTGAAGATACACTTCTGTGGTTCAGTTCTTGCTTAAGCATAGATGAGGCCCTGTGTTCAATCCTCATCACTAAAACAAAACAGAAAACAAATTATTAACAATATTAATAAATGTTTTCAAAGTTCAATCTTTTCAGCACCATCTTTATGCTCTTACTTTACCCGTAATTACTATTCTACTTCAGTAATACTTTTAGTTAACTCACTTCTTAAAAGTATTTTTAAAATAGTCTTTGTATTGTCATTATAAACAGAAACAATCATCTTGTCACAAATAGAAAATTAGATTAAAAATAACTCTAATAAAGTATAAATCTATTATCATGTCACCTAACAATGGTAATACAAATTTGACACTGAGGGGATGGTTTTAAATATCTATTATTGACTTATTTTTTTTAAACAGGCTAAAGAATTCTAAACTTCTTAAAGCATTTCAGTTTTCAAGATGAAAAGCTTCTGGGGCTGAGGATTTAGCTCAGCGGCATAAGTGCCTGCCTTGCAAGTGTGTGGTCGTGAGTTCGATCCCTGGTACCGATAAAAATGAAAAAGACAAAAAAAAAAAAAAAAAAAGATCAAAGGCTTCTGAACTGAAAAGATTAAAATCAGAAAGAATTACAAAAAGTCTGACTCTGTAACTTAGGAGCTAAGTATCCTTACTCTCATTAAACCTCAACTTTCATATCTGTAAAGCAAGGGATTAAAAAGACAGCTAGGAATAAGGTATTAGATTAAATGAAACGTTACATATGTAGTAAACTACACTGCATGTCAACTACTAGTAGTAGTATTACTATTATTACTTCCACAATTCAAAAGAATCTCAATATAATTTCCACATGTGGCCTAGAAAGGTTTTTAAAGATTTTGCATTTCACTAATAACTATAAAGCAGCCAGGTGCAGTAGCATCCACTTCTAGTCCAGTCCCAGCTACTCAAGAGACCGAGGTAGGAAGATCACTTGAGCCCAAGAGTTCAAGACTACTCTGAGCAACATAGCAAAACCTTATGCCAAACAATTAAATGAATAAACAATAGCAAAATACATTCATATATATACTTCCTAGTAACTCCATTCTTGGGGTTCCTGAAATACTTCAAAATCCAAAAAGCATTACCAAACTTACCTGTACTGGGAAGTACAGCTGTATTTTATGCAATTCTCTACTCCTAATCTACCACTAATATTAATGAGAGCTCTATCTAAAGTATTACATATCACACTTACATAGCTTTCAGAAAACCTTCATAATAATTAAGAATTTTAGTAAAGTACTTACAAATTTAGTTTTGCAAAGCTCTCTTGTGCGTTATGCTTTTCTCGTTCATATGCACTTTCAACTTCCTTGAATTCATTTTTGATCATTTCCAAATCAGCAACAGCTTCTGCTTGGCTGGCCTTTTCCACTTGCAAAGCTCCTTCAAGGTCTCGAATCCTTAACTACCAGATGACAGAGAAGTAATTAAAACAAGCTAAGAAATGCTAGCTTCCATCCTAAATTAAGTAGAATATTTTATATTCAGCAGTCTGTTATTCACCCAAACATTTTTTTTTTAGTTAAACAAGAAAATCAGTTGATTCTCAAGAATTTCTTTAAGGCCAGGGACATAGCTCAGTGACATAAGCACCTGCTTGACAAACACAAGGTCTTGAGTTCAATTCCAGGTACCAAAAAAAAAAAAAAAAGAATTTCTTCAACATCTTCAAAGAAAGAAAAGTGGAAGACTGAAGACAGGTGACTATGCTAGGAAAAAGGGTACGCTGATATAATTTAACCTGTCCCATCAAAGTGTTTAATTTTGACCTTCTACTCCATTCAGCTCTTTCTTTTATAAAATATGGCAAATTAAGTAGTTTTTGAAGTCCAAAGGTAAGTATTCTTCCTCACTTAAAAAAAATTATTACATGAATATCTTTATAACCTTAAAAAAATTTAACAGAATTGTTTATTCCTGGAGATTTCTTAATATAGAAGAATGGATTTATTACCAAACACTCTTACACTGGAACATTTCTGGCTGCAGTGATCTGATATCTTGGGTTTGCTTCAGTATAATCTAGAGGTGGGGAGAGTCTCAGGGGAGCAATAGATAAAGAACAACTGGTCTCAGATAGGTGTTAAACTGAGTCACAGGACTACAGACACTAACTGTAATAACTCACACCAAATTCCACCGTGGACCCACATCCAGTAGATGCCAGTGGGGAGATCACATTCCCCACCTAACAATAGATGTAAGTACATGACGTGGCTTAAATGGCAACCAGATTCTGGAGGAACCAGAAGGTCCTCAAGTGGGAGCACCTCAGAAACCCATAGGCCTTAGTCAGGCACGGTGATCCACACTTGTAATTCCAGCACATAGAAGGCTGAGGCAGGGGATCACTACAAGCTCAAGGCAACCTGAATTACATAGTGAGATTGCATCAAAAATCAAAACAATGCCAAGTATGGCAGGGGCCTTGAGAAAGGAGGATCACCATAAATGAGTTCCAGGCCAGCCTATACTACACATAGTCAGATCAAGGCCAAACAAACAAACAAAATTCAAAACAAAACAATATAGGCCCAGGCTGGGGACTTAGCTCTGTGGCATAAGTGTCTGCCTAGCAAGCATGAAGTGGTGACTTCAATCCCCAGTACCAAAAAAAAAAAAAAATTAAAAAAAAAAAAAAAAAAACCATAGGCCCTAAAGCTAGGCATAGAAAATTATGACCCACAAGATCCAAAAGACTCCAGATCTTGGAAAGAAAATATTCACTGAATAAAGCAGAAATTTTTTTCTTTGACTCAATTCTTTCCTGGTTTGCTATTTTGTATTATTTTTGTTTTCCCCTCAGATTTTCAGGGTTTGGGATTTTTTTTCCTCTTTTTTGTTCTTTTCTCTACAGTTTCTTTTTTTCCCTGATTTGCTCTCTGTTTTGCTCCTTCTCTTTGTCTATTGTTTCCTACTATGCTTTCTATGGTCACTAATTACCTTTTAATCCTTGGTAGAACTCCCACCTCATTTTTCTTCCTCCTCAAACTTCAATGATGAATTTTTTGAATTTTGATTTTTCATTTTTTGGTTCTCCAAATCATCTAATTTTCCTAGAGTAACTACTCAGGTTCACAAATCTCTAGATAGCAAGTTAACTTTATGTTACTGTTGGGGAATGCTGTTTTAATTGTTAATAAAGGCAAATTGGTTTCATTTAGTAGATATTTATCATTGGTCAAAAATAGGTCAAATTTGGTTTGTTTTAGGGGTTTATACTATAACTATGGATCTCTTTTCTATGATTAAGGGTGGTATTTCATTAATAGGTTCTTATAGTTTATCAATATTCAGTTTCTATTTGATGCCATAATTGATGCTGACTGTGTTACTACAGCCAAGGTGTCATAGCTGTTTCTATTGATTGGCGTTCATGGAATGCCAATATCTAAATTGCCTGGGGGTCATCAACAATACTGTAGCACATTCCTGGAAAACAGAGTACAGGGGCACATATGCTTTAACCTTCTCATCTTGAGTAAACAAAGGCGGAGGGAACCAGGAACAGAGGTAAAGTTAGCTATGCCAGAAGATATCACTGAAAAATAGATATTATCTAAAGAGGTCTCTGAACTAGAAAAAAAAAAAAAAAACCTTTCTACTCTGGTTACCCTGAAGCCTCAACAGGTAAAAACAAACAAAAGAAAGATGAGAAGATCTTCATGAGAAGATAAGCCACAAAATGCCTCTGATAACTCCCAAATCCTCCATAGCTAATCTATAGGGGATCAAAGGAGGAAACCAAAAGCCACACACCTGAATTATTCAAAATGGTATCAGAGGAGAAAATGAAACAGTTCAATAAGGCAATTAGCAAGGTCACAGAAGATATAAGTAATAAGATACTGGGCCATTTAAAACTATCAATGAGGCTAAAAAAGATACTAATTGTTAAACAAGATGATACAAAACATGAAGGACCCACAGAGGAAAAAAATTGGAGTCCATACAAAGACTACATATAGAAATTCAGGAGATTAAAAATTCTATCAAAAGTATGCACAGAAGAAGCGACCAATGTAGACTGGGCTATTGTTGGTGAACAATTAATAACAGAAACCTTGAAAACAATATGAGAACATGAAAAATAGATGCAGAAACTTCCAAATGACACAAAACTGACATTTATTAATTCCAATTAATTGGAATTATTGAACATTCAGAAAACACAAAGGGTGTAGAAAACCTGTTTCCTAAAATAATAGCAGGAAACTTCCCCAATAATGGGAAAGAATTTAACATACAGGTAAATAAGACATATAGAACTCCAAATAGCCAAAATCAGAAAATAAAACTTCTCCATAACACATCGTACTCAAAATCCCAAAAGTCCAACACAAGAATAGAGTCTTAAAAACTTTTAGAGAAAAGCAAAAAGTCACTGATAAGGATAAACCCATCAGAATTACAGCAGACTTCTCAACACAAACCTAGAAGACCAGAAGAGCTTTGGAAGCAAGTGTTTCAATTCTAAAAGAAAACAACTTCCAACCCAGGCTAGCACATTCTTAAAAATTATCTTTTAATATTTATGGAGAAATAGGATAGTTTTATGATAAAAAAAATATCTAACGAAATTTATGATTGGGGCTGGGGATTTAGCTCAGCGGCATAAGCACCTGCCTTGCAAGCAGGCGGTCATGAGTTCGATCCCTGGTACCGATAAAAAATTAAAAAAAAAAAAAAAGAAAAAGAAATTTATGATCACTCAATCAGCACTCTAAAACATTTCTAAGGATACCCTTGAAAGAGATAAAGAAATTAACAATTACAAATGATCTAGCAGAGTGAATAAACCAAATAAGGTTAGCAATTAAACAGAAGGGAACCAGCAACAGAAAACTAAAGCAATGACAAGAATAAGTCAATACCTATCAGTAATGACTCTCAATGTGAATGGCCTGTTTTCCCTAATCAAAAGGCACAGACTGGCAGAATAGATCAAGAAACAAAATTTAACAATATGCTGTTTACAAGAAATACATTTAACAAAAAAAGAAACTTAGAGATTAAAAATCAAAGGATGGAAAATAATATTCCACACAATGAGAACCTGAAAAAAGCAGACACTGCTATCCTATATTCGATATAGACTTTAACCCAAAACTGATCAAAAGAGGCAAAGAAGGTCACTATGTATTGCTTAAGAGGATCTTTCAATAAAAGAGATCACAATTGCTAATATATAACAGCACACCCAACTTTATAAAACAAATACTACTGGACATAAAAAGACTAGATAAAATTACAATTATAGTGGAAGAGCTCAACACCCTACTAACACACACTAAATAAAAAAATCAACAAAGAAATACCAGAGTTGAACCAAAGGACATAACAGGTATCTACATCCAACAACAGAATACACATCCTTTCCAAAGTACATGGAAGTTTCTCCAAAATAGATCACATACTAGCCAATAAAACAAGTTTAAGTAAATGTAAAAGAAGTGAAATTATACCCTGCATATTATCACATCATACTACAATGACATTAGAAACCAAAAACAAAACACATAAATTATGCAAATACATGGAAACTAAACTAAATTGCAACAGTAAAAAAAAAAAAAAAAAAAAACCCTCCAACTGAGAAAAGTCCAAGTTCAAATGAATTGACTGCTGAATTCTACAAAAATTTCAGGGACCATCAAACACCAATACTTCACAAACTTTTCAAATAAATTAGAAGGGAAAGAGTATTTTCAAAGTTATTTTTGAAATAACCCTTACTCTAGTTCTAAAAGCAGAAAAGGACTCAACCAAAAAAAAGAGAACTATAGTCCAATTTCTTTAATGACTATGGATGTAAAAACCCTCAACAAGACACTGGCCAACAGACTGCAAAAATTATCAGAAATATGTACCAAGATCAAGCAGGTTTCGTTCCACGACATACACAAATCAATAAATGTAATCTATCACATGAACAGAAGCAAGGACAAAAATCACCAGATCATCTCAATAGATGAAGAAAAAGTCTTTAACGAAATTCAACATCCTTTCAGGATAAAAATCACTGGAGAAAATTGCTCAGAAGGTTCATATTTCAATCTGATAAATGCCAACTGTGAGAAACCTACTGCCAATAGCATATTCAGTGGGAAAGTACTGAAAGCTTTTCTTCTAAAATCAAGAGCAAGACAAAGATGTCTGCTATCACCACTCCAGTATAACACTCAAATCGTTAGCAAGAACAAGTAGGCAAGAAAAAGAAAAGGGATATGTACAGGGTAGAAGTTAAATTATCATTATCTGCACATAATCTGATCTTTTGTACACTATTTAATTAGTGATTTGTTTAGAATAGTGGTCAGTAAATTTTCTGTAAAAAGCCAACAAGTAAACAATTTAGATTTTTGTGGGCTGATTTGTCTTGACAAGCAGCTACAGACAAGTAAACAAAGGTGCATGGCTGTTTTTCAACAAAGCTTTATGCAAATAGGCTGCAGGTCAGAAGGGGTCCATAGGAAGTAGTTTCCTAGTTAAAATTCTTTGTGTTCTTTTCTCTTAGAAATTTTTGTTTTCTCAGACCTAGAGAAAAGAACACTTTCCTTAGCAGGCCTCCATTTAATTCTCCTCCTAGATTTAACCCTTCTCCTTGTTATGATTCTATAGTATTTTGGTACATTGTAGTTTTATGTATGTATTGATAAATTCGTATAAATACATAGATGTGCAAATATACAGCATCTCTGATAATAGAGTATAAGCTCCAAAAGGAACTCATTCACCTTTGTACCTTCAGCTCTGACTACAGTGATAGGTGATATCCAGAGGATATGCACTCAATAAATAAGGTGTATATTTTCCAATAGTTCTCAAAAAGAAACTCCTTCCATGGCTGTTGATAAAAAGAACATGTTGCTCAGTAAATTGTTCTGCAAAGGGCCAAGTGGTAAATATTTTATGCTTCACAGTCTGCTATAATTTGGATGTGCAATGTTTTTCTCAGATCTAAGTATTAAGGGCGTGGTTCACAGGATGGCATTATTTGAAGGTGCTGTAGACCTTCCAGAGGCAGGGCTTTCTGAGAGGTCCTTGGATCATGCTTCTGAAGGGGACTGTGGACCCCATGCCATCCTCTCTATGCTCTGCTTTCTCACTCGCAAAGTGGGCAATTTGCTCTACCACGTGCTCCTACCGTGATGCACTGCCTCAACGAGGCCCAAAGAGGTAAGGTTACCCAATCATGGACTGGAAACTCCAGAACCATGAGCCAAAATAATCCTTATGTCCTTTAAATTAGTTGTCTCAGATATTTTGTCGCACTGATGGGAGACTTACAAACAAATAGGCCCCTGGGTCCATCACTACTCTATTCTACTACTGTAGCACAAAAACAACATTAAAAGAAACCAGATTTCCCAAGAATAAGCAGCAGGTAAGACCCAATCTCAAAGCTGTAATGTGCCAACTCCTCAAATGTGTGCTTAAACTAACTATAACAAGTCTCAGAATAATAACATTACCCACTCTAGATGGATGCCCCAGTTTTCTGAAAGTAGCTCTGTTTTCCGGTTAAAACATAATTTAAAAAAATTTACACCAAAAATATCATTTTACATTTTACCTGAATAATTTCAGAATTAAATTTTGATTCCAAATGTGCTGCTCTTTCCACTTCAATGTTTTCTTCTAATTTCCTCACTCTTAGGGTAGTTGCCTAAAAACAAATTAAAAGTTTAACTAACAGCCAGGCATGGTGATACATAACTGTAATCCCAGCATTCAGGAGGCTGAGACAAAAAGACTACCACAAGATCAAGGCCAGCCTAGCCTACATTGTGAATTCAAGGCCAGTCTGAACTATATAATGAGGCTCTCTCTCCATTTAAAAAAAAAAAAAAAGTTTAGCTCATAAACGTTGACATTTAAAGCAGATATTAGATCACTATATTCCAAAACTGTAATTAACACATTAGATTACTTTAGCTATGGCCTCAGTTCTGTACTCTGCAGAAGTAAAATGTAAAAATCATGCTCAGGAAGAATGTTCCAGAACAGGTTTTTCCTTTTTTAAGCTTTATTGAGAAACATTTCCTTCACAAAGATTCTTCCTGTCCCTGGGTAATGCTTTCCTCCAACTCTTGCCACCTACCCCAGTAAACACTGGTCTGCTGTCTCTCACTATAAAGCAATTTGTATTTTCTGAAATTTTCTATAAATTAAATTGTACAGTGTATACACTTCATTGCCTGGCCTTTTTTCCCTTGGCCAAGTATTTTGAGATTTCACATTTACAGTTGCACATATCACGAATTCATCCCTTTTTACTGTTAAACAGTGTTTCCACTGCACTGATACATCACACAGCTTTTCTTTTCACCTGCTGACAGGACAGACATGTGAGTTGTTTCTAGCTTGGGCTATTAATACAAATAGAGTTGCTATGAATATTTATACAAAAGTTTTTTTAGTCTGTTTCAGTTCTCTAGGGTAAGTAGGGAAGTGCAGAATCACTAGGTTAATAACAGATAAGTATTTTTTAAAAACTGCCAGAGTTTTCCTACGTGGTGATAAGAATTTACATTCCTAACAGCAATGTATAAAATTTTCCATTGTCCTACATCCTTGTGCAGTCATTTTTGTAGTTGTTTTAGACATTTAAATATTTCTCTAATAGTATGTCATTTTAATTTCTCTAATAACAGTGACACTGGGAATCTTTTCATCTATGTGTCTCCTTAGATGAAGTATTTACTCAAATATTTGTTGCTCACAGGTACAGGTCATTTGCAAAAGGGAAGGGAACCAGGAGACGGAGGAAGGGGAGGGCAGTGAGGAGGAGAAAAGGGTGAAAACAGAACTGAGATGTGTTATAGACATGTACCAGCTCCCCACAATGAATGTGAGCATTATGTACTGCAAACATGTACTAATACATATTAAAAAATCTTTTTTGGTGCCATCACAGACATTGAGCCCCAGGTCTCGTGTATGCTAACCCAGAGCACACATGCTACATAAGAGCTGTACCATTGAGCTGCATTACCTCCCCAGAACCCTCACTCTTTAACTGCGTTATTTTCACATTGAGTTTTGCAACTTCATTATATAATCTGTATGCATTTTTATTGGATAAATGATTTAAAAATATTTTCTACCCATCTACCTATTGTCTTTTCATTCTTTTAACAATATCTTTCACAAAGCCAAACATTTTGGGCCAAGGATTTAGCCCAGAGGCATAAAGGCCTGCCTGGCAAGTGCATGGTCCTGAGTTTGATCCCCAGCACAAAAAAAAAAAAAAAAAAAAAAAAAAAAATCTGTTATGAAGTCTAATTTTTCAAGCAGGAATCCATTTTTGGGCCAAAACAAGAGTCAAAGCTATATTAATACTATTGTTGTTAAGAAAATGCAACTCTGAGAAGCAATGGGTCCCTAGTCTCAAAAAGATAACTATCATGACACAGGAGCAGGGAAATTAGGACTAAGGCACAGCCAACATGTCTCAGGACAACAGCAGAAAATAAAATCCCTACTATCATATTAGTCAAATATAGATAGTTCAATAGTGATAAAAGCATTACTGACTTTACTTCCCTCAGTGAATATATTGAAAACCAATGAAGTGTGTGGTTTATAAGGGTGAATTATATGATATAAAAACACATCAATTAAAAACAAAAGACTAGAAGGGTCAATAATAATGTCAAAAAACTGACAATCACATAACTTAAACTTTTGTTTCCACTTATGAAAAAAGTCCTGTTAATTACTGACCTTACTTATTTAGAACAAGGGACACCCAAAGGTTGTGGGGTGCTTATAAAGCATACTTATAGAAAAGAAATGTTTATGTTAACCCAGGCTTGAATAAACATTAACAAAGAGACCTCCAATACTAATAAAAAACATATATGTCTTACAGGATACAGTTTTTGCCTCTAAAGAATTAATGTTGAATTTGTCAGTATCTACTATACTCATTATAGATTCTGTAAATAGGAATCTAGCCAATCACAAAGAAATAGTCCACAGGGGTAGAAAATAAAAGATTTTAAAAACTATTAAAGGAGAGAAGAAATCTGTCTAACAACATTAAAATACTTATTCTCATTCTGAAAAACATATATGTAGATTTCTCTATTAAACTAGCAATCATATATTTTTAAAATACATTCTTTGAAAAAGCAATCAGCAATCCTGTCATATATATATATATATAAAATATATGTATATATACATATATATATATATGATTCCACTTAGGAGTTAAAAAGATCTGTTCTTTTCGGTCTTAACTGAAACCAAATAGCCAAAAAAAACTAAGATCACATCTTTATTTTAAACATCTTTCTGCTGTGAATGAAATGTTTAAAAAGAAAAATTATAAGCAGTTTATTATAATTAAAACTTTCAATGAATCAATAAAGGATAGTAAAAAAAAAACTTTAAATACTTAAACTACTTCCAAGAGTAGACTTTGTTGATAGAATAATTAAAGCTTTCCTAATAAATTGTTTTTCAAGCTGGCAAATTAATTCTTATATCCACCAGAGGGTGCTAGAGAAGCATCAACATGCTATTCACACACACACAAAAAAAATTAGTACGCCATTCCAAAGATGCCTCACTAGCATTTAATCCTAATACAATCAACAAAGCAAAGGCATAAAGCAGAACAGAATTCTGATTAAAATCCAACACAAACTCATATACTTAACTAATCAAGTTAATTATATACAGTTTTGCCTCTAATACAATTATTATACTGTACTAAATCTCTTCCCTAATACTAGGAACAAGTCTTCTTCACCACAGAACTTGGCCTTTATTAGCAGTTTGCCATGTCCCATCCTACCAAACACGTACACTCTTTATAGAGATTTTTATTTTAGTAAGAATTTTGAGTTTCCTTCTCTCCGTCGCTCCCGTTTCTCTCTCCACAGTATAAATTGTATATATTATATATATTATCTGATTTGTATCTCATTAAATAAGCCCTTTAAATAAACTATTACACTTAAAAAAATAAGCTTTTGGCCCAGCATGGCGGCACTCACCTGTAATTCTAGCACTTGGGAGACAGGCAGGAGGATCACTGAAAGTTTGAAGCCAGCTTGGGCTACAAAGTGAATTGAAGGCCAGCTTAAACTGCACAGTGAAACCTTGTCTAAAGAAGACAAGAACGAATGAAAGAAAGAAAGAAAGAAAGAAAGAAAGAAAGAAAGGAAGACAGACAGACAGACAGACAGAAAGAAAGAAAGCTTTCCATCACTGAGGAATGCAACGTAAAGAAGGCTCTCTCCTACCCAACCCACACATTCTACTTTATCACAAACGAGGCATGAGGTGTCCGCTTTAATTCAGCATCAGAACTAACCAAACACAGCAGATGTTCTGCACACCACAATTGCTTCTACAGCTTCCATGGGCCTACTCCAAAAGTTCAGAAAAAATGTGTATAATGCATATGCTGGAAGACTGAGCAACAAAACACATACCCAAAGTTCTTACTATATTCTTTCCTCCACAAATACAATATATTCAACTCAAGGGGAGACACATAAACAAAGGAATTAGTCAAGCAAAAAACATTTGTCAACAAAAATCTAGCCTACTAAGATAGATTCAAGATAAATAGAGAAAACATCATACAAATACATACTAGTAGCAATTTTTCAGTAGTGTGATATATAGCACACATTCCTATATAGTTACAAAGTTTACCCCAGAATGTCCAATAATTTGTGTAAATACAAAGTGATTGTTTATTTTTTCAGAATTTTTCACTAGATAATTTCTATTATTGGACACTTTTACAAATAACCAATATGGGGCTAGGGAGTTAGCTCAGTGGCATAAGCGCCTGCTTTGTAAGTGCATAGTTGTGAGTTTGATCCCCGGTATAAAATAAATAAATAAATAACCAAAATGATAGTGATCCATCTTCAAAATGATAATTCTAAAGGATTGGATTGTCATAGACATTAGTTTTACAAGGGCTATTTTAATGATAAGCATATTTTATTTGGTTGTATTTTAGTGACTCTAAATAATTATTGTATGTGTTGACAGTTATCTACAATACTGACTGCTCACCTGAGTGAAGGGGAAGATAGTTGCTATATTTTGAACCTTATAAGACAAGTACTCAAATTATTTTTATTACCAAAAGATACCAAAAAGAGTCAGTTTCCAGGTTATAGCTAAGAACAATCTATAAAACCTTTACTGATTATCATCCTTCTTTTAATAAAATATCTTAAATGTCATAATATTACTCTGACCTTTAATGAGGGATTTTTTTTAATGTTACCAGGAATTGAACTTACAACCTTGGGCTTGCCAGGCAGGGTATGTGCTGCTGAGCTATATCCCTGGCCTGAGTGCTCTTTTTTAAGCAAGCATTTATTCTACTAACAGTCCCTTCTACATGAGAGAACTTAATTACCTTGTCATTGAAACAAATTCTATGAATGAATGTTAACATTCTACAGTTTTCAAACAAGTCTTTTCATTCAGCTTTTACAGTAACATGGTATGTTTTACAAAAAAAACTATAGTATGTAGTATATAATATTTCAAATCATAATGAAGCACTCTTGTTTGAAAGGTATGTATTTAAGTAGTACTCTTATTTTCTATGTAGCCAGCACAACATATAAGAACAACTCTACTCGGAGGAAAACCTGAAACTGCTTTGTGAGCAGAGCATCGGAACTGCTGTGTAGAAGTGAATAGCTGGCCTCCTCTTCAGGAAGTCCAATCTACTGAACTGTAATGTATTAAAAGTTAATCCTGCTAAGCAAATGCCACTGTATAGAAATGCTTAAAAGATTGTTAAAAACAAATGAATAATTTGTACTTTTTGCATGATAATCTCATTGTTACACATTATACTTCAAAGATGAACCAAAAAGGAGAATGCCACATTTAAAGAGTACCCATGATATCCTAGATACCATACCAGGTCCTTGGCTGAAAGGTCAAAGTGGTTGCTGACCCCTCTATGAGCATTTCCACTCCAAGAAAAATGACCTGTGTTACAGATGAAAACTGATTTGTCTCTAAGAGGCATTCCTTATATTTCTCTTCTGGGGCAATTCATTTGGAATCGTTTTATTAATGGTCAAATCATACTTGTTTCCAAAATCTTTCAGATTATTTTACATAAACAAGCTCACTTAAACCAGGCGTTACTGTGGATAGCAGTGTCAAAAAACAACTGAACAACAATATTCAGGGATCTCTGTGTTAGTCATTTTGACCATGTGCACTTTTGAGGGTAGGAAAAAAAATCTAAAGTCACAACAGCAACAAGCAAAATCTTACAAGTTTCACAAAATACATATCAAAACAATGGAATGATAAAAATAAATTGGAGAGCCCATCAATTTTCTTATTCGGCAAAAAATGAATAATGAACTACAGCACTGAAATTATACTTTAATGGAAAAAATAATATTAATTTTAGGCATGATACAAAAATAGGAAGTATTAGGAATAGAATTTATGGGTCACAAATTCTGATTACCATACTGACAAACTAATTTACCTTCTTTTTGAAACTGCCTTTACCTTTTCTGGCAACAAAAAAAAAATCATGATTTAACAAAATTTTTAACACATTATGAATATAAAATGTACTTAAATATGTGATAATTGTAAGTGTGACCATATATTCCCAGTGATCTCATCATTTACCTACTTTATAATTCATCCCACAAACACATGATGGCTTTAAAAAGATGAATTATACAAGGCTACCTTTGTAGACAATTATAAAATATGAAATATATTTTTCTTTCCTTTTTCACTACATTTAGATATAAAAGCTATTTCTATCCTTCTTTATGTTACTACAATATAGCATTTGACTGACAGAAGCAATTCAGAATTCATTTGCAAAGACTCTTCTCTCTCTACTGTAATCTTTGAGACTCTTCTATTCTCTCAGAATTAGGTTTGCATCTTCTCTTTTCTCTGTTCTTATTGAGTTAAGCTTATTTCCCATGATAATAAACTCCCTTAGTTGTAAAGAGGCTTATAAACGCCATAGATATTTCTTTTTCCAGTTGACTTTTCCCTTGATCCTGTGGTTTCCAGCACCACACTTACAAAATTGGACTGGGAGTTTGTTTGTTTTGTTTTTTTTTTTTAATCTAAGAAACCATTGATCCATGTTACAATGATTAAGCCACACAATAGTACACAGTTTATCAGATTAAAAAAAAATATATATATATATATATATATCTTTGACTCAAGCACATAAAGAAATCACCCTTCATGAAACGTTAACTGTTAAACAGCTTCAGGAAAAGCTAGAATATTTGCATTAGGCTAAACATGTAATATTGGTTGCTTTCAATCTAATACTATTGACAGAAAAAATGTGTTTATTTAAATTAAAATTAACAATTTTCCTCTTATGATCTCAGTATCTCTGAAAATACATCTTAGATAATTATCTATGTAACTAGAATTACTGGTAGTTAATGGCTCCAAAATTGAATGAAAATAGCATAAAATGTCCTTTAGAAATTTGTGTTCATTATGTCACCATGTGGACAAATAGGTAATGCAAAGTATATTCACTTAAAGAAAAATTTTACAGGTATCTAAAGATGAAGAATCACAGATAAGTCAAAAGACTACACCTGCCTACATCTTAGAATAATAGGAGATATTATCTAGGCTACCTTCCAAGTTTCACACTGCCCAAAAGCAAAGACCTCCTACTACAAAAAAATTTACCAATTAGCTAAGAAGAACCATAAAGTAAAAATAAAGCTAGTCTAAATATTTGTAACATAAACCAATAAAAAAAAACCACAAGTATTTTAGAGGAAAAAATCAAAACTGCTTTATTCATAACATATCTTAAAAGTTTTTCAAATTAGACAGAACTGGCTTACCAAAAATTCTACCGATAAAAATTAAATTACAACTAACTAGTACTTCTTGACCACTATAAGGCCATTAAAATGTTTTTAGTGATGTTCATAGGATTTTATAGCATCCTAAAATGACATCTAAATTTTTTATTCTAATATTCAAAATAGTAAGTCTATACCAATTCTTTAAATGCTCATTTATAAACAATGTAACATTTTTTATTTTTCACATAATATAAATGGTGATATAAAATATTATCATATATTCTTAAATTTATTGGCCTGAAAACATGCTAAACACTGCAAAAAATGTGCTTAAAAAAGTTTTCTGTTTTGTTTTTTCAAGACGGGGTTTCACTATGTAGTTTAGGCTGACCTTAAACTCACTTCGTTACTTAGGCTAGCCTCAGATTCATGGAAATCCAGCCTCAGTCTCCTGAGTGCTGACATTATAAGTATGCACCACCATGCCTGGCAGTTAAAATACTACTTGGGGGGCTGGGGATTTAGCTCAGCGGCATAAGCGCCTGCCTTGCAAGCAGGCAGTCGTGAGTTCGATCCCTGGTACCGATAAAAAGACAAAGACAAAAAAAAAAAAAAAATACTACTTGGACTATAATTTCATTTTAATTCATTTTCTAATCTTATTTTTAAAAATAGGCTATGTATGGTGAGAAGGTAATTTTATCTTTGCCCAGATCATACTTAGCATTACTACTGAGACCTACACCCAGTTTTTACCATTATTAACATGTTATATTAGTATGGTTCAAATAATCCATTCTAAAAAGGAAAAAGAGATCTGAATAGGTATTTCTCCAAAGAGGGTAATACAAATGGCCAATAAGCACATGAAATGGTATTTAACATCATTAGTCATTACTGAAATGAAATTCAAAGCAATGGGATACTGCTGTGGTTTAGATCTAAAACGTACGGCCACCCAAAAGCCTCTTGTGTTTGGAAGATGACTGGATTATGCAGGCATTAGCACTGGGCAGCTAATGGGTGGTATCTGATCAGAAGAGGCAGGTCCCTGGGAAACGACCCAGAAGGGTGTCTCTCCTCTCCTGGCTCTTCTACTGACTCTCTGCTTTCTGGCTGTCATGACATGAGTATCTTTCCTCTACCACCTAGGCCTTCCTATCTTCAAGAACTGAAGATAGGACCATGCAAGGACTGAAACTTCTAAAACATAAGCCAAGATACAGCTCTTCTTTTAAATTTCAGGTACTGGGTATTTTCTCCCAGCATCAAGGAAAGTAACTAAAACAGATACTATTTCAAACCCAAGAGGGTAGCTATAATAAAAAAAAAAACTGGACATTAACAAATAATGGCGGAGATGTGAAGTCTCATCTTAAAATATCTGTAAAATGAGCTAGTCTAAATGATTCAAATGACAAGATTTTTACTTTTGCCACTTCGGATCAGAATATACTCAGTCTTTTCCTGTGCTGCTTCCTCAACCTTATGAACAGTTACTCTCATAGTTCCCAAATACTCCATGAGAACTATTCGCTTAAAATGACACGTTTAAACTCAGGGGCAAGGGAAACATTCTTTATTCAGATGCAAAAATTTCCAAACAAGCCATAAATACATAAGATAAAATGTAAAACGTAAGAGTTTCCCAAAATTAGTTCTATGCTTATTATAATATAAAATTTTCTCAAATTTTAAATTTAAAAAATTAACAATATACACGATATAAAAGAATGATAAAACATACCTCAAATTCTTTTCTAAGACGCTCTTCTCGCTGAGTACTAAATTCAAGTTCACTTGTTTGTCTTTGTAAAAGGTCAGAGCACTCCATATGTTCTCTCTCTAATTGTTCTACTTTCTTGTGCATACTTTGTACAGCACTGTCTTGCTCCTGGAACAGAATTAATTTTTGTATCAGTAAAGTATATAAGCCATCAATGACTAGAAATTACAAGAAAAGACAGTAAATCTATGCTGCAACCATAATATTTTAATTTATACAGGCAAGAGAGGCCTAAGTTTTTTTCCACAATGTTTCAAAATGTACATGATTTAAAAATCACTATTGGAATTGTACAATTTAAAAAATCTGACTGAGACCTATTATTACAACTGAAAATGTAACAGCAGACAAAAACCCTATACTAGTTCAATTGGCCTTTGAGAGTACTTACATAATTCTGCAGTTCAACTGCCACTCATAATGTTTACCTTCTGATTAAACTGTAAACTATTTAGTAATCAAGTATATATGATCCCTTTCTGTAACAGGAAATGACAGGCTTGAAGGCTTAAATTTAAGAGCATTTTTATAAGCATATAGTTTATGTGATAGCTTTTAAAAGCTGAGTCCACTAGATGATTGTTTCTTCTTCAATTTTCATAAAGTATTCACATCTTTGAACACTATTGAAAAAAATATCCAAAGTTAATCTTCTACTCAAATCTCTGCCCTCTTTTCCAGCTAACTCAGAAATCAGAGTTAAAATTCAGAGTTAACATGCGTCCAAGATATTTTCCACATTAGTCTATATTCATCACTCTCACTTTAACCTTCCACCAGAGCCCTCTTTCCCATTCTTCCCTCAGCAGTGTACTCCTATTCATAGATACACACACATACATATCTATGTAAATTCCCAAGAATTCCTAGCCATTCAAAAGATATCATCAAAATCTGGGCATGTAATTGTCAAGTAAAACTCTTTTTCAAATATTGCAGTACAGACATAAACCCTTTTAAACACGTTAACCACTAAACAAGAAACCATTATTCTACATGCAGGTGTCTCTTTTGAGCAGTCAATAGCACACTATTTCTTCAAAAATCACTGTTAAATTGTATGCTTTCTCCATTTAAAATACACAATCTTCAACTCTTTAATTTGCCACTAACATACTATGTATCCTTTAATACATGTAAACAATTCACAAACTTAATCACAAAGTAAACCAAATAATTTGAAATAAAAATAGAGCAAAAGTCAATAACTAAAACAGATTTACATTCTTTTGGATGGCAAATTACTTCATACAATATTTAATAATGAAAGTAAAGAAAATTATGTAGGACGCATTGGGGGTGTAGTTCATTGGTATAGTGCTTATCCTGCATGTTGCAAGGCCCTGAGTTCCATCCCTTGCACCACACAAAAAAAAGTTAAAAAAAAAAAGACAAGTGTTCAAAAAAATTTGCTTCCCTTACTGCGCAAAAGGTGTTTAGTTGGGCATAATACCATCCATCTATTTCTGCTTTTGTTTCTTTTGTTTCTGGATTTATTTGTCTTACAGGATTTATTTGTAAGAAAATATAAGCAATGGTCCATCAAGAAAGATGTGAGTACAAGGAAGTTGGGGGATGAAGAAAGAAAATGTGACTTATAATTCCCTTTTTACTGATAAATAGTAAAGATAATCCTTCTAAACCCTCTTGTATAATAAACCAAGAATGTGCCCATTATTCCACATGAATTGAATTTAATCTTTTTTTCTAAAACCTGGAAAACCAAAACCCTGCCAGTTAGACCTTATTATATTTAGTCTAATGAAGTTTTGATATCAGATACCTTTATGACACCAGATAGAATTAAATGTTACCTATAAACTGCTTGTAAATAAAAATATTTCAAGATGCAGATGAAACTAATCTAAAATTATATTTTTCAGGCAGAGGTTAAAAAGTCACTTATAATTATTAATTTATGGTACAGATATACACACAAACATACATGTTTCTATAGAAAAAAAGATACTTCCCTCAAATAATAGAGCTCTTTAGGAATTTTATGCCAAGAAGCCACATCATACTGACTATATTTAGATAAACTTTGAATTTCTAATGTTAAACTTACTACTTTATTGTATGTTTTTATATTTTATCTTTTTTAAATTTTGGTACTTTGTGTTGATAAATATTCGTGTAATATTTTTGCATGTATATTCATGAGTAAGATTAACTATAATTATCTTTCCTTATGTCCTTATCAGTTTGGAATTAAGGTTATGTTGTAAGATTTTTTCATTCCCTAGAGGAGATTTGCTCCTTAAGTCTTTTTGTTCATTGCTAAAGTAATATGGGCCTGAAGTTTTTGACAATGACTCAATCTGTTTAATGGTTATAGGACTATACAGGTTTCCTACTTTTTACTTCCTAAATCAGATAGAGAAATGGGGGTGATTATACATATGTATGTATCTACCTCAAATACCAGGTCACATAATCCTATTGTAATGATCATGATAGAAAGGCCCCTTAGTCTCTTACTCTGTGCCTGAAAAAATCCCCCAACCTAAAAGATGAAGTCTGAAATTAAATAGGGGACAGAGGGCTGGGAAAAAGAGATGTGAAGAAGAAATAACTTCAAAATAGTCAAAGAACATAAGCATCTCTAGAATATCAGGTGAAAAAGGCACTAAAAGTTCTTCCTCCAAAAGCAAGTCATGTTGGCATACATTTGTAATCCCAGCATTCTGGAAGGATAAGGCAGAAGGATCACAAGTTTAGCCCAACTAGGGCAACTTAGTGACTTAGCAAGGCACTGTCTCAAAAACAAACCAAACAAACAAACAAAAAGAGCTGAGAATGTATCTCAGTGCAAAGGCCCTGGTTCAATCTTAACATGATAATGTATAACTTCAACTAAACTCCTTCCCTAAAAGACAATGTTGACTAATCTTCCACATGTGTACCAGATCCATTTCATAGGTGTACCAGAACCAAAATTGTTGCCAGTTTCTACAGTAATATGAGTGCCTTAAATATACATCTTCAAAACAATTTCAAGGAAGTTTCAGTTATTTTGTTTCATTTGAGTCATCATGCATCCTTGATATTAAAATAGTACAATCACAATGTCCTGTTTTTTCTGCCTGTATACAAACTGATAGTTGTACTTAACTGCTACTATAAACCATACATTTTATGCTTTTTAAAAAGTCTACATTGGTGATTTAACAACTGACAATGAAAAATATATACTTATTCTAGGAACTCTGTAGCTCTCAGAGTAGATGTGTTTCCTCAATCAGTCCCTCTTCTGCACCTGATCTGGATCTGCCCATCTCTCATATCTCTTCAAAATTTAGCAGCAGAAACGAAGTCTCCTCATGAAAATGAGGTAATAGATATTAAGGGAAGGTGCTTAAAATTCATTATCTAAATGAATTTTTTTCTTTCAAAATGGCAAATTAATTTCAAAAGTTCAGAAAGAAATTACTGAACGAGAAAGCAAGTGTTCAAAAAAATTTGCTTCCCTTACTGCGCAAAAGGTGTTTAGTTGGGCATCTTATCATCCATCTATTTCTGCTTTTGTTTCTTATACTTCTGGGTTCTTGTTCAAAAGAATCCTTGCTCATTCCAACATCCTGAAATATCTCTCCTACTCTGCTCTTTTAGTAGTTTCACTGTAAGTCTTAAGTCTTTAATAGATTTTGAGTTGATTTTTGTAACTAGTGAGAATTAGAGGTATGGTTTCATTCTTCTGCATGTATATATCCAATTTTCCTAGCACAATTCATAAAAAATATTATCCTTTCATCAATGTATATGTATTCTTAGTGCCTTTGTTTAAAATCATTTGTCCAGAGAAGCATGGGTTTACCATATACTCTCTATAATGTTCCACTGGTCTATGCATCTGTTTTTATGACATAAAAAAGGTGTTTCAATTGCTACAGCTTAGTAATACTTTTTTTTTTGTCTTTTTCCTTTTTATCGGTACCGGAGATTGAACTCACGACTGCCGGCTTGCAAGGCAGGCGCTTATGCTGCTGAGCTAAACCTCCAGCCCCCTAGTAATACATTTTGATGCAATGTCTCCTGATTTGTTGTTCTTATTCAAGATTGCTTTTGCTGTTCAAGGTTTTTTGTGGTTCTAATCAAATTTTAGGACTTTTTTTCTGGTTCTACAAGAACATCATTGATATTTTGATGAGGATTGCATTGAATCTGTAGATTGTTTTATCTCTCAATAATTATGTACACTAAGTATACAACTGCAAAAACAAAAACATTTGATCAGGAGAACAATAATAATGTAACTTGGAAAGAAATTGAAATAAAGTAATAGTTTAAATAATTATGGTATATACACATGATAAAATACTACACAGTAGCTAAATTGAATGAAACAGAACTATTTTATTACCTTGGATAAATCTCAAAATACAAATAAAAAAGACAAATTAGACAATGCATAACATTCTATGTATACTCCTAAAAGTTATAAAGTGCTAAAAAGTGACACATGTCTACACATACAGATAAAAATTAAAACACCTTCAGAATAGAAGTTACGTTTTGGGAACGAAATGGTAGTGAGATGGAGAAGTGATTCAGTATAATAGTATTCAATAATATAACAATGTATTAGGTGTTCTTAATTCTGAAGCAAATATGACAAACACTAATGTAATCTATGTGGCTGGTATTGGGTATGTTAACAGTACTAGTACTGATCATATTAACCCTTGAGGTTTTTTCATATTTTTCAAGTACCTAATTTTATGGTTTTATAAATATTTAAGTTGGAGATGTAACAGATTAATCCACCTCTCCTCAAATAAGTTTAACTTTAAAATTTGTGTCATAGCATTTATGTTCTAATCAAATCAAAAACTAACAGAGGAATCCTTGTAGTGGTGAAGTAAGGGAGTGATGGTGATTAAATCATACCAAGAGCATTTGAAATTGAGGAATATTCTTCTTTTAGCCACTAGAGGGAGCCATTAAATTTAAAATATTTTACAAATGAGACTTGTTTTTGAACTGACTTTTAACATCACAGGAAACCGCACTGTGCTGTTAGGAAAAAAAAAAAAAAAAACCTTTCCTTTCCATATCTTCCAGAAACACAGACCAAAAAGTATAATTCTTTCTATACATACATATAAACATTTCTCAGAATTGAAAATATAGCTCCATAATGTCAGAGCAAAAGTACTTCAGTTTTCTTGCTTATAACACATATCAATATAGGTAGCTATAACATTAATCTAAGATTGCTTCATGATAGAACCAGAATAAGTTCCTCCTAATTTTCCAAAACCACATCAATTCTATATACTACATAATTTGTTAATTAGTACTACCTTTGTATTGCATCCATCGTAATTATAGAACCATATGCTTGCAGACCCAGCATTATACTTCTAGCCATTAATACATACAACAAAATCACTTGTACAATTGTTCAAAGCTATGAACAAGGATTCTGATAAATCTCTTCCTTTAGGTCAGGCAGGTTGCTGGGGATTGAACCAATGGCCATCCACGTGCTAGGCAAGTGCTCCACCACTGAGCTATGTCCCCACCCCAGCGAACCATTTTTAATCACAGCAAAAAGTGTTGGAAGAAACAAAATGTCTATTAGCAAGAAATTACTGAAATATAATAGGAATACCCACATGACAAAAATTGAAAGAATAAGGCAAAGGTTGATGCATAAGTTCAGGAATGTAATTTCACTAACTCATTAATATATATTCATATATCCTGAGATCAAGAGTACAATTAGAGGGGAAAGGAAGATGATCTTTACTTTCTACTTTTAAATTTCCCTAAATTATGGACATTTTTACAATGAACAAAACTTTTATAAATTTATTATAATTTCATAAATTATTAAAATTTTTTCCAGTTTGGAAAAAACAGGCAGTACCAATGCCATGGTCATTTTCTATGCCATCTGCTTATCAGACACCAATATGCAGTTTTTTTAAAAAAAAAAAACTACAAACAAATGCTCCTTGCTGTCCTCGATCACTTAAGACAAACTTCTTTTTTATGTAACTCCCTCCAAGTTGTCCCTAGATCACTGGATCAGTCTTGGACATAAGCACCCCAATCCATAAAAGCTGTCTTATCACAGAATCTACAGTGCCTCTGCCTGGCATGAAGACTTCTTTTGTTGCACCCCCTCCTCCTTTTTCTGTTTCAAAGTAGTGTTTTCAATCTAACCATTACAAACTCCCACTTAATTACTAGGTACAACAAATTTAGTCAATAAATGAGAAAATGATAACCTGATTCCCTGAAATAATATTCATCTTGTGAATGTTTTCAGCATTACTGATAAAAATATACATTGAGGTTAACTGAACAAGAAGGGGCATTATTCTTTAAAAATAAAGCTTTACCACTGCCTGTCACACTTCCTACAATGGAAAATCTCATGACAAATTAAGAATATTCAAAATTTAAAAAAATATTCAAAGTTCATATTGCAACTATACAAGGGAAACAAAAACAAATTTTAATTTTTAAATATAAAAATAAACAAGTAAATTTAAGCAAATATATTTTCAAGATCAACAAATATACTGTTCTAAACTTGCAATGCCTTTGTTTTATTTTAAAATTTTAAATAATGCTGAAGATAAGCAGAATTTCTGTATACTGTCAACAGAAGGCATAAGTTTTGTTTAAAAAGAATGAGAAACACATCCTAAATGGTAACTTTTAAGGTAACTTCAATAAGATTTGGCATTAATATTTGGACATACATGCTTCTATTGGACATACATGCACTCCATTTCCTGGGAAAGAAACGGAATGTTGCATAAAATTAAATTTTCTTTCTAGAGTTAGAATTCTAAAGATGAGAGAAATATTATACTACTTTTATCTGCTAAAGATAGGGTTTCATTAAGAAGGGTTGGTGTTTTTGTTTTGTTTTGTTAGGGGGGTTTTTAAGCTTATTTTTAATAAGGAACTCCCTTGGAGAGCTACACAAACAATACTATATGATACCAACACCTACTTACGGTATGAAAAACTAAACTCTTCTACAGCCAATCGAGAAGAAATTTTAATCTATCCCTCAAGCTGTTTTACAAAAGGCTTTTTAATGTACTCAGGTGATAGTTTCTAAAGGAAATGTAGTTTTATAATGTTAATATACAAGACAAGAAATTAAGACACGATGTGCTATTTCAGTTGCCAAAGACAAACACACTAATAATATACCATCAAAAGCACCAAAGTGAGATATCGTTGGTAGTAACCAGGGAGTATTAGTTCATTATTCTTTTCTCCCATATCATCATTAAAACGTTGACAATATAAAGTTTGGTATAACCACACATGTTTCATAGGGATTTTCCTAGGCTCTACCATGAAACTGGACCAAAATCATATCATCTTCACATTTATATAAAAGTCTCTAAATTCTGTTTTTAAGTCTAGGACTCTGGCTGGTAAAATATAGGTTTCAGAATGTTTACAAATGAAAGTGTTATCTTCCCTGACTGAAGTTAGTTTGCTCCTAATAGCCTTTAAGACAGTTACTAATAACAGCTCAAATACTGCCTGCTCCATAAAGATTCTTCAGTCTACCAGGTATATAACCAGTTTCTCTTCTAGGATTCCACAGCATTTTGTTCAAAACTGTGTTGCAATACTGTGTATTTTCTCACTTTACATGTCTCTTTATGTTGAAAGATCTTCCAGGACAGAAAAGATACCTTAACCATTTTTATATCTATAGTACCCTAACTTAGCACATACAGAAAGAAAGGAAGATATGAACTAACCTCACAAATCACAGACACTTACAATACTAATGAGTGGCTGGGAATGGGGTACATGAATTCCTGGGTTCATTTCCAGTACACTAAAAGAAACCTTTCTTAATTAAAAATAAAAAGAAGTTGCATTGTCCTTCCAAATACTACAGTTGACTAGGAAGAAAAGCAGTTCATGAAGACCGAAAGTCTGCAAAGTTGTTCTTTTGTTGGTGTTCTCAATTCTTAGATATGCAACAAATATAGTATTTCCACTCTTAAATAAATAAATTTCTTCTATTCTCTGCATAATTTTGGCAATGTCTATCTTGCAAAGTTGTTCCTAACACAAAGTTACATAACATTTATCTTAGGATATTTTTCATTCTTGTGAAAAAGTATGTCTTTGATATCTATATCAAGGCTATTTCAACTTGTCATTTTGTACAGGAAAAAAGACACATTATTTTAACACAAAATAAAGGAAGAACCAAAAGAAATTTATTTGGAAATCTAGTTTTTCCTTAAAGTACATTACATGTTCACAAATTTTCTCTGAAGTACACAATTACTACTATTAACATTTTGAGCTTCTCTGATCTCTCCTTCCAACATATATAATGTTCTGAAAAACACTCAAAGTACACAGTGGAGTGAAAATCTGCAGACCAGTAGTCCTTTCCCACATTAATCACTCAGTCTATAATCTGAGGAAGTCAGTACTGCTAAACTCCATCTGATCACCTATAAAGGGGTTAGATACAATCAGTAATTTTCAAAAGAACTATTTGAAGCCTTGGGGATTCAGTATGCTTAGGGGAAAGAGGGATAGAAGATAATTAAGAATGTGCACTTCTTAAAAAGAGCTCAAAAATCAGTATAGTACATGGTTTGTAAGGACATTTAATATCTCCAAATCCTATTCTATTTCTTTATCCTATTAAAGTATGCTCTTAGTATCACATCATAAATTGAAAAAAATAAATTCATTTATATTGCTCAAAAAAATGCCATAATTTCTGCAATGGAAGTCACCTACCTCTAGCAATAATGGTATCTATTTATAACAGCTGTCCTACTGTCCTATAATTACAATAAAACATGGCCTTCCAGAAGTCAAGCATGGGATTATTTTTCCCTAAAGTGAAGTATCCTACTATAATTTATAATAGCATAAAATTTTAACATCATAAAAATTATAGACATATTTAAGGAACTGATTTTTAAATACCTGTACTATCAGTTGCAACTCTCTTCTTTCTATGTCCCATTGTTCTGCTTGTAATCTAAACTCTTCCAGTGCTGTGTCCCTGACATGCAATTCCATCTTACTCTTCTCCAGTTGATGGTTTTCCAACATTTCCTTTTATACAAATAAAATTATTTTACTACTGCATCAATAAAAGGTTATCTTTCATCCTTTCATTCCCATTTAAGTGAATAAAGGAGCCTTACCTAACTACAGACAGTTAAAAACTACTACAATTCATGTTAAAATCACAAACCGTCATTTTAACTATCAGAACACAGGAAACAAGGGCTACCATTTAAGCAGTTAAATATGTATTTATCCATACATTCACATTTTACCCAATTTTTCTAAAATATTCTAAAATAATTTAGAAAAATAAATTTTTCTAAAATAACTTCAGAGGCTAATATAATACAAACAAAAGAGATTTCAATTAACACAGAAATCTGTAAGTATGGACAAACTGTTTGGATAATCTTTAATAATTTATATACAAATCTGATAGAGAATAATGTATTTCCAAAATTATTCCAAAATAATTTTGTGTCATAAAGCAAAGTAAGAAAATTTCTATCTCCTAAAAATTTGAAAATAAGAATTTTATGTTTATACCACAACTAATTTCTAGTTCCACAAATAATTTTAAGTTTTTCCTTTTACATTTTTCTAAGTATACAATATTTATAAAACCTAATTTCGTTCAAATCCTTTAAACTATAAAATGCAGGTTTCCTGAGAAGACCAATTTCCTAAAAAGCCTATGGAGTTTTTAAGCACCTCCATTAACATGAAGAGAAAATTCTGTAGTTTGTAGGAGAAAGCCTCAGTGTCCATATGGAGCAGTGTGATAAACACTACCCTTATGTTTTTCGCTAACAGAAAACCATCACAAGAGCTCAGAGGTTTTTTCTCCTGAGAAATAAACAGTAGCTCCTATTCAATCCCCAAAGCCTCCAAAGGTCTCAGTGCAAATCAGTTTAAAGCCAACAGTGTAAAATCTTAGCAGAGTTCTCCTAAGCCACACTAGAAATCATATCAAGATTGCATGTGATAAGGTGCAAACTGACTGACTGAAAAGAATGTGCCATCATTACTCTTTCCCCTCACTGCCAACACATTTTATGTGGCGAAGATTCCAGAGGCCCACCCTAAGATGTGTGGTACCAGCCTCACCTAAACTTCTGCCTTTCAAGAACTAATGGAACCCAGGAGCAGGTCTAGTAATAAAATGATAAACAAAGAAACTATGTAGAATTACTGACAAAATCCAAAGTAGATCTGATAATGTCTAGGAATTCTTGTCCAAACTTTGACATTTAGTAAATCTTCTTGTAAAATTATTTTTTTGGTGAAGATATATTTCCAGAATTCAGAAAATCTATTAATACTAGTGGTAAACACAAAGCTTTTTTATCGTATTTTTTTGTTATTTTTAGCTCTAAAATGGCAAATATAAACAATTCAAAATCTACCTTTTCAGTGTAGGCAACTTGAACCCTAACCAACACTTACATTTTAGAGTACAAGGAACAAAAAGTAGGGAAATAAATAGCTCAGAATAATTCTAATAAAATTAAATAGTTCTCACTTCATAAGTCTACATAGAATATGCCCTCATAGAGTAAAAATCTTACCAAACATACTTTTTATATGTATTGCATATTCAAATCAAAATCTAGAGCCTATTTCTAAAGTTCAAATTTTTCATACAGCTAGACCAAAGGGCTACAGGTTATCTTTTTACAGTATGCTCATATATGTGTTTGTTATCTTCTTTTTAACTTTGATCAAAGATTTCTAATTCTTTTTCACAAAATATAGTACTGTGTACATATTAAAGTCACTAAAGCTAGTTACACAAGAGACTAGTAAAATGCCTACGGAAAAGGAAAGAAAAGGGAAAGAGAGGGGAAAGGAAATCAAGCAATGTCTTCAACAATATATGAAACATTTCAAATAATATCACATGTAAGAAAATTCTTTTATGAAAATATTTTACTGGGCTAATTTTTAAATGGGATTTTTAAAAATGTTACAGTCAGTCATGGTAGCACGTGCCTACAGCCCCAGCTACACAGGAGGCTGAGGTGGGAGGATGACTTGAGATCATGAGTTTGACATCAGACTAGACAACAAAGCAAAGAGCCTGCCTCAAAAACTCAAATAAAACAAAAGCAACAGTTAAAAATGCCTACCTGTAGAGTTTTTTCTAGTCTACTTTTTTCCTTCATAAGTAAATCATATTCTTGATTACGATTTTGAATTACAGTATCTCTTTCCTCCAAGTCATGTTCGAATCTCCTACATTCTTCTTTCCATTTCTGCTGGGAAGCCTGAAATACTCTCTCAATCTCATTTGCTTTTTCTTGAAGCTCTGATTTTTGAGCTATTAAAAACATAACAGAAAAGTAGGTATATTTATAATCATGAGTTACATCATTAGGCATCTAAAAGCTTAAGTATTGGAGCTAATTCCATTCATAGCGTATTAGGACAAAATATTTAACCTTTCCTTCTCAATAAACTCTTACTGTATAATTTCTCACTCTTTTGCCCTCAAACAAAAGTGATTTGGCTTTGAAATAGTGAGTCATATTCTTTAAGATATGCCCAAGTTTAGGTGTACCTCTAGCATCAACTGCAATTCTAAGGCTTTCTCTCCTACTCAAGAAAACAAATCAAATGTTTTTTAAATAGGTCAAGACAGAAACAACAGAAAACTATAAGGCGCACTATTAGAGACACAGAAGGGGGTCAGGAAAAAGAGGAAGCTGGGTAATGGGGATAATGAAAAAAATAACCAAAATATGTTATACATACGTACCAATAACCAAAATGAATCTCATCCTGTATTACTAATATGTACCAATTAAAAATAAAGTCATAGAGTTACTTTTTTAAGACTCAATTACAAGATTTCAAATTTTGATATTTGTCTATTGGTAACAAACTTATGACATAGCCTCCCAGAGTGCTGGGATTACAGGTGTGCACCACCACATCCAGATAGAATACTTACTGAGAAATCCCTAACAAAAGTATCATTAGGTTTTTCTCCTTGGCTTAGTCAGGTGACCCATAGAAAAAGTCCTTCAAATTCTACATGGCGTACAGGAATCTCAGAACTATCTTTTGGGAAAGCTGAACAAAATGGTTCCTCAACACTTGGCATTGAGCATTCTATCCATTTTGCCCAATCGAAAGACTATTTTATCATCTCCAGAACTAAAACCACATGATCTCCACTGGTAAATGGGAAAGATCACAGAGTAGAATGTTCTTGTGAAGGTGATCTCAGGATCTAACTTCAGGTTAAGCAGCTTTCTTCTAATCCTCCTTAAATTACCCCCTACCATTCCTTTCATTCCTAATTCCAAAGATATCTGGTGCTTTCAGCCATGAGTTCTTTAACTAAGCAGTTGTGTGCCAGCTTTCTTCACACCTGGCTTATTCTGATGTCAGAGGCACTCTAAGTCACTTATTCCGCATCCCTTTGTTTTCCAGCTTCAAACTGGTTTTTGACAAGTTTTCTATTCTTTCCATTGTTGTGGGATTATCTTTAATATCCCACTTTAACCACAAAATTTTATTACAAAATTTTTAAAAATACAGAGAGCTGAAAATATTACACATGACTACCATGAATACACAACCTAAACTCTACAACTGCTAATGTTTTGCTACATTTATTCTATCACTTATTCATCTATCCAATCACTTACTCATTTAACCACCCTTTGATCTATCATATTTCTTTGTGCATTTCAAAGAAGAAACAATCATCTGTACATTACACTCTTAAATAAATGAGTATGGATATCACTAACCATAATGCAATGGTTTTACCATTTTGTGGGAGGAGGGTACCAGGAATCAAACTCAGGACCTTGCATTTGCCAGGACTTTTTTAAAAGGTAAAATTTCCATTTAGTAAAATGCACAAGTTTTAGGGTACCATGCAAAAAGGTTTTGCAAACACATGCAGTCATTAAACTTTCTCTATCAAAATATAGAACATTTCTTTCTATGCAAAAAGTTCCTTCATATTTTTCTCAGTCAATCCCCATAGCCAACTGAACCTCTGTTCAGTTTTTCACCAACAACTTGTTTTTTCTTTGCTAAAATGTATATAGAACAATCATATACAATATCCTCACTGTATTCTTTAATTCAGCATAATGTTTTTTGAGACTCATTAATATTATTGCACATATTAGTTGGTTCATTTTTATTTCTAAGTATTTCATTATATAAATGTAACATAAATTACTTTTTCACTTTGTCAATGGACATTGTTAAGTGAGGTTCCAATTTTTACTACTATGAATGAAGCTGCTATGAAATTCTTACAGAAGTCTTTTGTATTTTCTTTTCCATGGGAAAACACTAAACAGTGAAACTTCTGGATCATAGGACCAATTTTTTAATTATCAGGCTTTTTTCCAAAGTAGTTGTACTATTTTATGTTCCTCTTAGAAAGTATAAATTGCTATACATCTTCCTCAATATTTGATACTAACAGTCTTTTCAATGAGAGCCAACTGATAAATACGTAGTGATGGTCATTGTAGTGTTAATTTGTACTTCCCTGATAAGCAAAGGTAAGCACTTATCATATTATTGACAGCCATTCTGCCACTGTCCTCTGTAAATATCTGCTGAAATTGCTTGACCTTGGGTAAATGACTTCCCATTTTCCCTGAACTTCAATTTCCTAATAGTTAATAGAAGTCACTTTCACTTTTTATGTTGACTGCCTTCCCTACTTACATTGCTAAACTCAAGTTGTTGCATAGTTATTAAATACCAAAAGTAACTGTGAGAAACAAAATATGACATCCCAAAGTACTGCACCAAAGTATGCTGTATTTTTGAGCTGAAGAATATGGGAGGCTCTCAAAAGCAATAAGGATTCTCTGGGTCTCTCCTGCTGTCTTTTCTAAAGTCTATTGAAGCAAGTAATAAAACCTAGAAATGTCACTGTCTAACCTACCTTCCCAGAAAGTAAATCAGAAGGCCCTATGTGACAGGAAGAAAGGAAGGCTATGACACAAACAGACCTTGCGGAATTCTCCCAAATTTATTACCATTACATTATACCCTTTCTGTCCAATTATATTTTTCTACAACTATCCTCATCTCCCATCAGATTTAGTATAAAAATACAATTTTTCCTGAGTCTTTGAATCTTCAATTTCTGAAATCTCCCTATATCACATAAAACTTTTTAAAATAAATTTTTTGTTTCCTCTTGTGAACCCATGTTGTGAGTGTCATCCATAAACCTTGCAATGGATGAGAAAAGAGTATTTTTTTTCTCCCCTAAGTAATCAAAAATCTCTCTTACCAATATCAACAACCAAAGGCAACTGGCTAAAACTAAGGATCTTAAGTACTATAACAATTATAATTTACCATTTATTTGGCTCCATGCACATTAACAAAACACTTCCATTTTTCTCATCTCATCCTTAAAAACAACCTACATTCAAGTATCAGTAAAGCAGTGATTGAAACAATATATAAATCTAAGGCAATATGGTGATGCACACCTGTGATCCAGCACTCTGGAAGACTGAGGTAGGAGGATTGCAATTTCAAGCTCAGCCTGGGCAACTTAGTAACTTAGAAAGACCCTGCTTCAAAACAAAATAATAAAATAAAAAGGGTTAGGGTAGAGCTCATTGTGAAGGCCCTAGGTTCAATCCCAGTACCATCCAAAAAAAGGTAAATCTAAATCTGAATTGATATTCAGTGCTTCTTAATTAAAACCACTATACACAAGAATATTGGTAACAGGATTCCTTTTTCTTTGAGACAAGACCTCAGTGAGTCGCCCAGGCTGGTCTGAAATTTGTAAATCTCCTACATCTCCCAGGTAGTTGAAATTACAAAGGCATGCTACCACATCAAAAACTTGACACCACCCAAATGTCCATCAACAGTAAATGAAACAATATACTTGTGGTTATGTTTATACAATGTAACACTAAACACCAGTACCAAGTAGTACAACAATCTGGATGAATCTGCCAAACACAATGTTGACGGAAAGAAGCTAAGTATAAAAGATATACTATATGATTCTCTACGGAAAAAAATAAAATTGGTCCATGCTGTTAAGAACTACAGTAGAAGAGCAGACACCCAACTAAAAGAGTGCTTGATAATTCTGTATGCCATGATCTAGCTTCTTGCTATGAATTACACAGTGATCTAGGAAATGTCTTTATACATGTATTTACTCATACTTAAGTAAAAAGATTTTAAGTCCAATTCTGATATAATAGCTTTTTCATTTTTCAATACTAGGGACTGAACTCAGGATCTTTGCACTGAGCTACATCTTAGCCTTTTTATTTTGAAACAGACTCTCACCAAGTAGCTAAATTGTCCAGGCTGGCCTTTAACGTGATCTCCTTCTGCCTCGGCCCCACCAAAGTACTCAGATTACAGGCATGCAACACCATGTCCTGATATAACAGTAGTGGTTCTTACACTCAGCTAATCAAAAATATCACCTGCAGTGTTTCTTGCACATACAGATTCTCAAGCCAGAGGTTTGATTCTAGTGGCCTAGAATAAATGTTTTTAAAAACAAAACTTCTTTCATGATTCTGTTTATTCATGGAACAAGTGGCTCCAAAACTGATTAATATCTGAGCACAGTGGCTCCAAAACTGATTAACATCTGGACACAGCTACTTACAAGGCTGAAACAGGAAAACTGTCATTTCAAGGCCAGGAGGGGCAATTCAGCAAGACCCTGTCACAAAGTAAAAGAGGCTGATGTAGAAGATCTGTGGTACAGCATTTGCATAGTATATGCAAGGCTTCGGATTCAAACACAAAAATAAATAGATAAAATAATCCAAAGTAGATAAATGTTCGCATAATTGCAGATACTATAGGAAAATTTGTCAAGCAAAGGTCAATCAATGCATAAAAACCGTACCCCTCCAATCATATATGGATGCACAACAGTAAGACATGATATAGAAGTTATAACCCTAAACATGGAAGAAATAGAGTCTTACTATAGAGTTCTTCCTGGATCCTATGTGCCGCAGCTAACCTTTCTTCAGCAGCCCGTCTTCCAACACCAGTTTCCTTTCTAGCAACAGCCAGGTCATATTCCAGACTCTGTCGCAATGCTTCTCCTTTTTCAACTTCAGACCGTAGCTTGGCAATCTGGCTCTCATAGCTTGACAGCTATAAACAGATTTCTGAGTTCATGAACCAATATTAAAACATGTCTGCAAGATGACAAGATCAAGCATTCAAACATTTAAAGTTCTTTAAAAATTTGCTTCCATGATATGTATAAGAATTTACAAATTTATATTTTTGAAAGGAAGCACTGCCTTACCAATTGACAGTTTCCTCTTTAAGAGAACTAAAGAAAAAAATGAAAATGAAAAACTTCCTTACAATAATAAAGAAAAATTACATTTTAAATAGAAATATTCATACCTCAAAAATGAAAAAACAGCTGGTGGCATATATGGTAGCATATGTCTGTAATCCTGTTACTCAGGCTAAAGGGTGATGAGTGCTGAGTTTGAGGCCATCCTGGGCAGCACAGTGAGTTCAAGGCACCCTGTACTATATAGTAAGGCCCTGTCTCAAAACACAAACAGCAACAACACAAAAACCCACACAAAGAAGACACATGTAAAGACTTTAAAAGTCATTTTCTCCTCTATTTTCTATTCTCTATTCTCTAAATATGGTCAAAAAGCAAACTCCATCAAAGTAAAGTGTGGCAAATATTGCCTATTCTCTTTATTATTACGTCACTAATAGAGTTTAAAGTAATAAAATGACAACTTAGAGATTTTAACAAACTATTATATAATTTGTGACATTCAATGAAGTACTATGACAGCTATAGGTTGGAGTTAGTACTTGGTTATTTTCTAGGTCTTATCTCATTCTAAAATTAAGTGACTTAATCAGAGATTGACTAATAACGTTAAATACTTGCTAAGTGTTAAGTATAACACAAAATACTAAAAAAAAAAAATGCTAGAAAGCCCCTGATTCAAGAGATTAAATGCTATAAAAAGTACATGGGCTAACTTTTATAGAAGAGATAAAAATCAAATGGAATGATATTTCCAAGAAAAACAAAATTACTTGCTGCTTCTGGGACACAGATAGATGGCAGGAACTGTAGAAACATATAAGAACTACTATCTCAGGTTACTGAGCCACTATCTCAGGTTAAAAATAAATGTCTAATTATCAAATAAGGAAAAGACAATTTCTGAAGGGTAACATTAGAAATTATCACTAGAGGGGCTGGGGATTTAGCTCAGCGGCATAAGTGCCTGCCTTGCAAGCAGGCAGTCGTGAGTTCAATCCCTGGTACCGATAAAAAACGAAAAAGACAAAAAAAAAAAAAAAAAAGAAATTATCACTAGAAGCTGTTAATATTTAGAATATGATAAAAAGCTATATTCTTTTCACATATAAAGAACTTAAAAGACTTTGTACAAATATTCACAAATACAGAAAAAAAGTCACAGAACAACCTTAATGACAAAATCAGTGTAGGTCCAGTTTTTGTCCCAGATTCATTCCATCCCTACTCAACTTTTGGGGAAGTTGTTTACCTATTTGGTCTCAAATCTCTCCAAATCCTTCTCAAACTTTTCTATCATAGAAATTTTATTTCTATGCTTCTCTGACAACCAGCTTCTCAAAATATTGTCCAGGGAGACAGATGCATCTGTAGATTACTTGAGGGCAGAAAAGGTAAAGAAGCCAAAGTATTTCTCCCTCTCTAGATCAACTTCAAGCACTCTCTGTCTTAAGCTGCTAACCCTCTAGACAGTACCGAGGTCCCTCCCTGGTCCTTGCTCTCTCCAAACAGTTCTGGCCTTTCTCAACCTTAGAGTAGAAACAGCTTCCAATATTATTGTTATCCGGGTTATAGTAACATCCCCTATTTGCCTCCTCAGATCTTCTAGTACTTACATAACCAAAACACTCTCTACTAACATCTCTTTGCTAAAAAATCTAGAATGGTTTCTTTTTTCATGAGTAAATAATAATATTTCATGAGTAAATAATAATCTCAAGATGAGTCTCTAATATGATGTGCCTAACCATTTGAAAGCTCTTTGCAGGTAGAAATGGAATAGCTGTGGTACACAGTATACAGCAAGATCACAATTATTTAAATTACAATGTGCAGTTGTTTAAGATGAAGTGCCTACTAAAATGAAACAGTGATGGCACTGGCTACCACGTCAGAATTATTTACCATAACACCTATGGGACAAGATACTAAATCTCACTATACTGGAGAATTTACAAAAACAAAATTATAATTTTGAGGCCTTAGAAACTTGACTTAGACAGTGAAAAAACCCATTTATCCCACCATCTCTGTACTACAACCCAAAGCCCTGCACTGAGCTACATCTCAGATCTTTTTTATTTTATGGAATATACATTGTATACTAAGTAGGAAGGAAGGACACAGGTTGAGAACTGTCAGAGTTAGATGAACCTAAAGCTGTGAATCCTTAAGTCCCTTTGGTATATCCCTATCAACAAAAGTTATCTCCCCTCTCTGAGGATAACAAACCTATTCCCTTTTCCCCTTTTTCACTTATGTTCATTACTACTGTACAAGTTTACTGGACATAATCATGGGGCAGAGTGGTGCAAATGTATAACACATCTTAATTCTTTCCCCTCCCTCCCTCCAGTACCCTTTCCAATTGCAAAGGATCTAACAACTATTTCATATTATCTACCTTTTATATTCTGCTCTTTGAATGATTTTTATACTTTGGTTTTCTCATATATGAGATATATTGAGAAATTTGGTTTATTTCACTTGTGTGTCTGATTTGTTTTATTTGGCATACTGGTGGTACATGTATGACTGTCCCATCAAGTGACTTGGTGGTACAAGTAGATCTAATCACTTCTACTTCTTTACTAATTAGTTTCTTTACTAATAAAATTAATAAAAAGCTATCCAGGACAGTAATGCATGTATCACCAGTGGTTCAATTTGCCCAGCAGCAAGATATAGGAATTATGGCCTTGTTGTGAAAATGTTAACATTATGTTCCCAAGTTACATCCATTTTCCTACAAATGACTCAAATTTGCTCTTTATAGCCGATTAGTATTTCACTGCACATATATACAACATTTTGTTTATCCATTTATTTGTCAATGGACACATAGGATGCTTCCAAGAGTTACCTACAAGTTGTGCTGCTATAAACATGGGTGTGCCTGTATCACTATGACATGATGCCTTTAACTTTTTTTTTTTTTTTTTTTTTTTTTTTGTCTTTTTCTTTTTTATCGGTACCGGGGATCGAACTCATGACTGCCTGCTTGCAAGGCAGGCGCTTATGCCACTGAGCTAAATTCCCAGCCCCGATGCCTTTAACTCTTTCAAGAGATATTTAGAAGAGGAATACTTGAGTCAAGTAAAATTTCTAGTTTAATTTGAAGAATCACTGTACTGATCTATATACTATTTGTGTTAGTTTACAGACCCACAATCAATGTAGACTTTAATCTCCCTGTAGCCTCTCAGGCATTTATTATGTGATTTTTTTTATAATAACCATTCTTCCTGGAATTATTGCATATTTCTCTCTTGGCCAGAAATGCTGAACAACTTTTCATGTATATATCAGCCATTTGTACTGTACTTTTTCTGAGAAGTGTCCATTCATTTCAAGTGTCTATTTTTTGATTGGATCTTTTTGGGGAGGGGTCTTTTTTTCTTTTTTAAGTTCTTTATGTATGTTAGATATTAGTCCTCTGTCCAAGGAGTTCTGCGTATCTGACAAAACTTTCCCTATTCTGAAGTTTGTGTCTTCACTCTACTGTTTTGTTTCCTCCACTGTACAGAAATTTTTCAAATGTGGTACTATATAATTTGATTTTTTGAAACTAGATGTTATTTCTTCTGCAATTGGAGTTTTGTTCAAAAAGTCCCTACCTGTGCCTATATCTTCAAGAGTTTTACCTATCCTTATATTCAATTTTTCTATTTTAAAATTCTGACCCCCTTTGATTTTAATTGTTTTTATTTTAAAGAGAATAAAATAAAAGAAAACAGAACAAAGCAAATCATAACAGAACAATGCAAGCAACACAGAACTTTTTAACAAGACAACAGGACATCAACAGTGGCTACCATGATGTCTCTTGTTTTCTTCCAAATAGTTGACCATACCTTTACACACAATAATATCAAACATAACAAAATAGAATAAAATCAGTCAAAAGAATGAAAGCATTACAGGACTTCAAAACCAGATAAAAGGAAATGAACAGTGACTACTATAATATCTCATTTTTCTCAAAATTTGTCAATACCATCACACATAATAACATCAAATAAAACACAACAGAATAGAACCAATCAAAACAGAAGAAAAAAAGCATAATAGGACTTCAAAGAAACATGACAGGAAATCAGCAATGGCTACCATAATATCTCATCTTCTTCAAAACAGCTGTTCATATCATCATACATAATAAAATCAAGCAAAACAAAATAAAACCAATTAAATGATTAAAAGCATTATAAGACTTCAAAACAATGTAATAGGAAGCCAACCATTATTACCATAATATATCCCATTATGATCAAAATAGCTGCCCATACCATGAGACAAAGTAAAATCTAACAAAACAAGACAGAACAAAGCCAAACCTAACAAACTTGTGAACAATATAAGAGCTCAAGACAAGACAATAGGAAATCAACAGTAGTTATCACCTTTCCCTCCTAAGGTGTTTCCTCCCCTATCATTCTGCCAATAACTATTTTGCTTTTGGTTCCCACTAACTCCTGTGTTTCTTACACTAGGGTTCACGTATGTGAATTCAAACTGTTTTGCTCATGAACATGATCTCCAGTTGCATCCATTTACTTACAAGAGCCTTGAGATTACCCTACTTGATATCTGGGTAGCTTTCCGCTGCAGGAAAATACCGTATCTTTCTTTTCCATTCTGCAGTTGATGGGCAAAATACTCTTGGTTTTTCTGGTCTCCTGTCACATGAAACAATTGTTGTCTCTCCTTTGATTTGCTGTCTATGAATTTCCTTTCCAGTTAAATGTGTCTTTTGCATACAGTATATCAATGGATCTTGTTTCTCGATCTGGTCTCCTTGTGTTTTTTGTTTTTGGGTTTTTTTTTTTTTTTTTTTTTTTTTTTA